TTGCTGTATGGCTGTCCGGAATCGCATTGATAGATAACGATGAAAACGGAGATCACCAACTAGTACAATTCTCCACAGTAGTTTCTGTGCCATTTTCGGTCGAACTGAAATGCACGGTTAGCCTCAGAACCCTACTCTAGGTTTTACATGTCATCCCGTGCTCTCACAGAAGCATGCTGAGTGCCATCTTAGATGGGAATTGATGTGCTCCTGTAGTACTCAGGAATTACCGGCCAACCGTTTTTGTTATGTCGGATCGGACTCTTTGTGCTTTGGTTCGCTTGCGACACCTTTAAAGCCGACTGGGTGGATCGGTTGATGGCCGATCGGTGAACACTGCTGTTCATCGTCGCCTGCATGATTAGAACCATTTATCATTGCTTAGCTTAACATTTTCTGTGCACTTGAGTACTGCTTCGAGTGTGGGACATGGGTAGGGAATAGTGCTTCACAGCACTAATGTAGCAAAGTTGAAAAGCGCAGTTTGGCGAAATTTATACTTCAACGTTACTCGGCTAACAAGCGGCGACATTGGAATTCACATTAAGGCAGTTTGGAATGTCATAACATGTTTTAAAACTCTTCCATGATATCGCTTCCGGATAATGAATTGTCTACACAGCACCTATACTACTGGTCCTCTTAAGGTGTTTTATATGACACCTACCATCAACAAATGGAAAGCACAGTTATAAGATTAGGACTAGTAGATGTGTGCATTTTCTGTTATCTTCACAGTATCATTAACAATAAGCAATATGCGCATAAACAACTAACAGTGTTTCACCAAACAATCTGATGGTTCAACGTAAGGGAAGCAAGCTCAACTTCTAAATCCATGCAGCTTCAGGCCGACAAGTAATTTTCCGCCATGGTTGCGTATCTAGACCGCATGAAAGAAGCACGAGCTCATTAAGAGGTCCGTATACAGAAAAACAACATAAACCAATCAGTACCTGCACTTTATCAACCTCATTTCAGTGCAGTACAAGTGAACATTTGTGGAGCTATCAGTTGGTTGTATCAAACGTTTCTGCCCGGCTGATTATCTGGTCCATAAACTAGGGTCAACTGTAATCACGCTCACGGCGAATCGCAAGCTTCGGAGAATTACAGCAATTGCAGTCAACTATAAGGACCGAATAACCGTACCGACCGCAGTGGAGACAAGGGTCTACATCGAGTTACCTTTAAAGCATGCTCTTAACAGGTTGAATACAACTAAGCCCGCCGTCTCTGCCAGACAGAGAGGTTACTATGCCACAGTCTGTTGTCCTGATCCGGCATCTCTAACCAATGAAGTCAAGGCGATCGATGTCAACATAAGCTGCCTACAGGGATTTGTGTGTGACAACGGAGTATGTTACATGGATAGAATGGCCCAAGTGTGTCCGGTGTGAGCGTTCCCAGTAACGATTTCATAATCTTGGACTTTTCAAAAGCCTTCGATCGTTTGGATCATCGTATTCTGCCTCATATATTCCAGAATTGTGGCATCAGAGATCCAGTATTGTGTGATCGGTAACTTCCTCCGAACATCTGTGTTTGACCCCATTTGAGTGAAGTGCGGTATACTGCAGGGTTCGGTACGTGGGACTCGCCTGTTCTTAGCTTTCACCAAATGTCTAGCTAGAGTGATTCCCACAAAAGTTCAACTCGTTGCGGACGGACTTAAGGTTTGGAGGGTGATCAAGGGATTGGGCGACCTTTATGAGACTTGGAACCGGTAGGTGAGGAACACACTGCCATTCACAATGAACAAGTGCCGAGTTCTTCACATTGGCTAGCGACACACCTATATCTACAGACTGGAGCGCAGGACCTCAGAAACGTGACATCTGTGTGCTGGTACAGGACGACCTCGGTTGTTCCAGATAGTCTGACGTCACTTCAAAATGTGGTAGTCAACCTGTTGGCCTCTTGTGGAAGGCACTCGGAAGTCTGTATCCATCTATCTTCTTTCCGATGCTCAATGTCTATGTGTTCCCACGTCGAGTACGCCATCGAGGCTTGGCAAAGTTGGTCAAACTTGATCTTGTAGCGTTCGAGACACCACAACGTCGGATAACAAAAAAATGTCAAGGGATTATGTCAACATCCGTATCAGGACTTGTTGGAAAAAACAGAGCGTTTAGCGGACGCTACCGGCGGCTAGGTGAGGACCTCATTTTGGTAAAACTAATACTGAAAGCTGCTAGTCACGTGGGCCTCCACTAGTTGAAACTTCTCTCAGACAATAATCTGATAGATAATAGGCCAACTATACATTCCCATAGATTGTCGATGAACTGACTTCTCCCTCAGGGTCCGCCAGCCCTGGAACGGCCTTCCAAGTTCACTTGTCTGTGCTTCTACCCTGGCCCTTTTCAAAGAAAAGCGCTTGGTTGTCGCGATCAGCTCGCTACCATTTGTTATCCGAATGCACTTTCTGTAATATATTCCGGCTCAGTCGCTTGTTGGAATTATAATCCACGCTGACACACGTAAGTCACTGCAGGCGGGTGAGCAATCCGATTGTTCTCAACACTGAGCATTAACCAACTTAAATTATTACTCTTTCTCCATGATGCTCTCTCATTTCCACAACTCTACTTTAATGTGATGTTGCCCTGTCGCTTCACTGAGACACCTTTTACTTTGTCCACTTATGTAACACCTGCTTCTTTCAATTACCAACCTACAGGACATTTTAAGCCTATGCTTTTTTACCCGTCACAAACCATTGTTCTTCCTCAAACTTCATGCTCGCCGAGGCCACCGACTTTTTAGATAGGCAAATACCTATTGATCACTAGTCACCGGATGGATCTCAGCTTGGATTTCAAATGGGCTACTTTATCCGGACCCCCGCTTCTTTACTTTTTGCTAAGGCTGTTGCAATATATCGGATGAAGCCAACTGTGTGCTCAAAAACAGCTAGTTGTCAGTTTTATAGCTCACTGCATTCAGTGGACTTCGCACCTTAGGTTTACTTGGTCTTAGCTTCTGTTTGATGTATCTACGCATATTGGTTGTTTTTATCATTACTGAGGAGACCGTACGAAATGTAGATAGCGACTGTGATAAACGTTTATGGACTGGTAACCGCGGAACACTGTGTGAGGTCCGCGCACCCCGTAATCATACTTGCAAGTTGCTCGCAAGCTGAAATATTCAGACAAAGCCCCAGGCAAAGCGTATGTCTTTTGGATAACACGTATGTGTCTTCGGGGTTGCGAAAACATTGTGCTCGAAGCTAGCAGAAGTTTGCCCGTGTGCCAAGTGTCGACATGTGGCTCTATGTGTGAGTGTGTGTTTTATGGATGGTGGGACTCAACATTTACGCATTCTGGGGTGAGTTGGGACAGTTATCTAAGGCCTGGGCACATTTTGATGACAAATCCAGATGTGGTGATCGCTACACAACCCTCCGACCAGCTCTGTAAGGGCAATGATAACAGATGACCTCAGCAACCCAGACGACAAAGTTGTAGTTCCCTGGCAAGCAGATATTACTTCGGACCGTAATAGATTCAACGCCCATACATCAAGCGAGAACTTGTTCAGATAGGGATTAATTTATGAACCATTCGGTTCCAGCACAATTGTGAAACAGAGCAGTTGACGAAGGTGGGCTTTTGTTGCATGGGATGAATCGAATTAAGTTCGTTTAAATTAATCGCTGGCATTTCGCAGGCTCCGCTGCGGAACGCATAGAGCTAGCGAATTTTTGGAAAATGGGACCATCACCTGACGATTTTCAGATTACATCTATTCTTGTGAATCCCGCCTAATGAATCATTCAGCCAAGTAACCACAAAAGCTTGAAGGAAAATCAGTTAAACTGGTGATCGCTAAGCCCTTATTCAAGCTAGATTACCTAACAAACCTCGCAACAGTCTTAATTGTATGACCAAAGTCGACATTTCTGGAATTAGCAGCAAATAATTCCTGTAACTCTTGTATGGACAAAGCCCCGTAGCCGTAAAGCTCATACTTTGTGGTGATTCACGACGTGCATGGATAATATGCTGAACTACCCTCCTCCCAAAAGATGTGCATAAGTCTCATATGGCTACGGTCAAGTTTACTTAGCCATATTTACCGTGAAGTGTACACTGCTCATGGCAATTTCTGTACTGAATTTAGCTATATCTATCACGCTTACTAGTCGATCCAATAGGAATGATGTGCACGTTGTCTGACCGCGTGCTTGAGTACAAAGGCCTTTCCTTTGTTTTATACTTAGTTTCTCCTTGCTGCCATGTTGCATTACATTCGTATTGATAGTACCAAATCATGGAAATGCGCTTATATGGGCGTATAACACTTATTATTAGATTAACTTGAATTGTAATTGAACCTATTGGTTTTTGATCTGGACGATGTGATCCTCCATCTCAGTTACGAACAGATGGATGGAAAAAATTCGATTTTTAAACTTTCCTCGTTGACATCATTAGGCTCTAGATAGTATTATATTCTAGGTCAAGCACAAGGCAGTGTGTGGTTGCTCACTTTAGAGGATTAACGAAATATTAAAGCTAAGTACAATACAACTTCGCATTTGGAAGCTATGGATGAATGGGGGTTATAGTATCTCTTGCAGGTAATGTATTGCATGCACCAAGTGTTTTAATTCACTAGCATACCCACGAGCCGTCAACGAACGGATTGCGGCTCAGACAGTGTCTCATCTCAAAACTTTTGGGGCAATAATTGTGTATTAGGGCCGAAAATAAATGGATATTAAGGGGAATTGTAGGGGATCTGCAAAAATTCAAACAGACCAGCCACAGTTAGACGCACTGTGGCCAAGTAGCATAAACCACTGACTACGAGTTGAACGGCTGTGAATTCAAATCCCGTTGAACTCGCAGGAGGGGAGCTCTACCAACGGGTACCAGCAGCATGAAACGATATTTTCTGGGTAGTGCCGGATGTATAACTAACTGAGTTTAATTGTGACGATACTAATGAGAAGTAGATGCGTACGTATATGCGTGTTATGTGGCACCCACCTGGTTTAAACAATCGCTAATTTCCAGACAGGCCTCAGCCAAGGACGTCACTAGGACAGCGGCGTCCCAGTTTGCTTCGATCTGGTTCAGTCGGCACTGCATTCGATCGGCCGTAGCTTTGGCGTCTGCCAGGTTAGTCTGAAGCACAAGACAATCTGATTGCAATCGACCCACTGTAGTCAGCAAACGGGACCAGGTGAGTTGTGCACAATGTGCAACCTCAGCCAAGCGCGGATACGGGGCCAGTTTTGAGATGGAGTACAGAAGTTGGAACAAAGCACCGGGTGACAGGGGTCCTGTGAGGATGGAATCGTCGACTCCGGTCCACGTATGTTGACCCTGGAATTGCTGATCTTCATGATGGTGTTTTTCTGGAGCTTGAATCTTGATCTCGGAAGCATCCGCTAGTTTGTAGTACGCGTTCAGGGCGGTGGTGACCCACTCTGGTTCAGGACAATCGGATACACCCAGGTCTGTGGAGCCTTGATTTCTGGTCAACCCATTGGGTTCCTTTGACCAGGGATAGGATGGAAGAAAAGTAAGGGGGCGGTAATAAGAGGGATGGAAACCACCATAGAAAATGCGTTTATCAGTCAATAAACGCAAAATGTACCATTTTAATTATGACATCATATGGACTAAATGGTTCGGTAGACTTGATACATTATTCACTTGCACTGTCAAGCGAACCATACTCCATGCTCGGAAATACTATCGAGCCAGCTTTTCTAGTAAATTCGGGCAAAAGTGAACACAGCATGATTTTAGCATTTCATTATATCGATCTGGAGAAATGCTCTTAAATGCAGTGGACACATTACCGAAAACAAACATTATGTGGCTGACGGTGTCAAATCTCCATTTTATTCGTGTCTGGGAAAAAATACAATGGAAAAGAAATGTTACGTAATAGTCGGGGCATGTTTAGTTGTTCTTTACTCCCAAAGCCTCACACCGTCTGCCGCCCTCGTTCTTGGTTGTACATCAGGTCAAGGTGATGAGCTCAGGTTAGAAGTGGTGACCTCGTCGACTGCTTACACAACCTGTAAGCATGCACGATGCCACCGTTTCGATTCCCGACTCCGGATATTTCTACCTAAATACGATAAATCCAGATTAAAGCAGTTCAGAGTGAAATCATCTATCGCAAGACGAACAAGTGGCGGGCGTTCCAAGGTCTCAAATGGAATTTCCCTTGCTTTCGATGAACACATTTCAGTGTCAAGTATAGGCGCAACGGATGATGTAATCGCCATCGCCAAATGGCTAGGTCTTCGCGGGTAACCCTGCTAAAGGTTAGAATCACTGAGCTAAACTGGAATCGCAAGTTTTCAAATAGTACAACGATTGCTCCTCTCCGCAGTTGAACGATGGGTTTGTGTAGTCTAAAATTAGTACAGTTCAACAAATCCGCCAACTGCATTATTGACACAGAAATTTTTTTTATAAAACCTGGTCTGCAAACGCATTTAACCACTCTCCATGTTGCAACCAATAGTTTATTACACTAATTGCTGACTAAGTATCGAGATCTTTATGTTTTTGTTTATGTGGGCGATTGCTCAAATATCGTATATAGGGACTTACTTTCTACCTCCAGCCGTAATATTCTCATGTTGTCTATCAGGACACAACATATATGCTTGTTATGTTATATGCAAACATACGCATTCGTACCGTTCATTATGGCAGACATTCACTTATCAAAAACTACATCTTATACAAAGAGGCACCATATGGCTCCCTTACATTAACATGTGTTTACTCAGTTATGTACAGCGTGAACCTAACACTACAAATCCAAAGTGCTCATTTTCTCCTACTGTACATCATCCATTAAAGGCTGCTATTGGGGAAACTGGATTTACATATCCCATCGGCCCAAGGAAGCTACACAGGAGGGAGCGTTGTAATTTCCATTTGTTATTTTTTCTCATGGATTAAGTGAACTACAATTGCTCTCCATATGGCTTTGTGTGCGCACAATCAATTCCCATTTCAAACTATCGTTAGGTCGCAGGGTAGTTAAATCGGCAGTCGCTTAAACTGACTGTTCATTTGCCCTTTGATCATTTTAATTTTCATTCCAACCATCCTACGGGGCATGTCAAGCACCTGCCATTTTACACGTGTTAAATCATTGTTCACTGTTCAAATCGCAAGTAGCAATTCCAACAACCAAAGTAACGATATACAACAATCTGCACGCTACAGATCCGTTGGACTTTGCCACTTAAGTTCAATCACATAAGCGGGGAACATTCCGATGTTGTAGCACACGGCAGTGGCAATCAACGTTCAATGCTAAGCCGATGGCGTTATGCGATAAGCCCAGTGATCATATTGCCTGGTATCCTAGCACTAAGTATTTTGGTCTGCGGTTCTCCCAGAGTGCAAAACAGTAAATTTTGTAAACTGTGGTGCCCTCCAATGAGTGATTTCACCCGTGTAAAGATGTGCAGATCGATTTATTTCACCGCATAGGATGTCATCGTTTCACACTCTATCTAATGCATTGGTTCTCAACCTTTTTGAAGTTGTTACCCACAAAGTGGGTTCACTATAAACAATTACCCCCAAACTTGTTGGTTTAACTATTTAAGTAACTACTATACTTTGCTTTTATTCACGGAAAATGAATACTATTTTTAATTCCCCTATCATTCAGATATAAAGTACATCTAGTTTTGAACCACCTTTTATTAAATCAGTAACGTAAGTTAGTGAGACGGTTGCTATTTTTAGTTCTAACAATTTATGGTATATTTGGTGCTGCTTTGGCCAATACACATCGTAAGTCATGCTCCAAGTTCATTCGGTTTCTTGCTTCGGTGTGTGATAACGTCAAACATGAGCACATCTCAGTGGCTTCTCATCTTTCGCAACCATCCTTTGCAAGTCCGGCCTGGGTGGCAGCTTCCCACCACCAGACTGTATCAATACATCCTGAACACTAATTGTCTGTTTTGTCCCTTCTACCTGGTAAACATACGCTCGCTCCTTTACCTCATCGGATGACCTATACTCCCACATTAGTGTTCACACAACTCTGTACTTTAACACGAGAAGCGAGCCACTGGAGGCGCCATCTAACCGTGCTGCTTTACAGGCTTGTATTCGTGTATTGGGTAATCAAATTTATTACCGAAGTTTTTCTAATTCACTGACCACTCATCACTGATTACTCACTGATGGCTAATTATTAGTGCTTAGGTAATTGGTTAATTGTTTTGACACAGATGAGTTTGTCATTAATTTTGTTCGGCAACAGATTGATCGCTCAATCCTCTTACTTGTATTTACCCCCCGTAAAATTTCATTGTACTTCCTTGGGAGTAATTACCCGCATGTTGAGAACCACTGATCTAGTGCCTGAAACATGCAGCTAGTTACGTAGTTTACGATGATGAAGCCGAAGATCATACGCAATGCATCTCTCGTCTCGCTGGACCCCCCGCCGTATGGTTCATCTAGAAGGCATTCGGAAAGTGATAACCCTAATTGTGCACTCCCAAAAGTGCCGGGTCCACATCATTTAGCGAGCCAGACGACAAACGCTCAGTCAAACGTTAGAGTTAGTGATAAGCTTAGCATATCTAATTGCCAACAATCGTTCACTTGACATCGGTACTCTGTTGCCTCGATCAGAGGGTTGTCCTCCCTTTACCCTTTTACTGATTGATTCTATTGTACGACTATTGGTTCAAAATCGAAGCCAGCAACAAGGGTACTATAAACCGCAGAGTTGAAAGACGAAAGACTAGCATTCAGGACACGCGCGTTTGCACAGCCTTACCCGGTCAGAAATAACGGCGTTTATGTTTGGATGAGGAGCCGTCCAACTGCCAGTCAAGTTTGTTATCGATGGGAAAATAGCTCTGCTAAGTTAATTTGGCCAATTGCACACGTCTGTCGTTTTATTGCCATGGTCTAATTGGGCATCGAGCGATGTTGCCTTCTTTCCAGGGTATCTCTTAGAGTTTTATTGAATCATTGCAAGTGAAGAAACCAAATTAGAGGGGCAAGTTTTGAGAGCAAAATTTAAGTTCTCTGTATGCTTGCTTTGACTGATTGATTGGTGTTAGTTACTGATTAAAACCATGACCATAGGTCGGAGGAATCGCGTACTTTGGCTTTGTGGGATGACGAGTTATTTGTCAGATTAGCTTAGCCCTGGCGATGGACTGTATATTTGTTGTGAAACACGGTCCACATCGACGACACCGCAGGTTACAATCCAACCACCTAATCAGCACTCCAACCATGAAAGTGTGAAAACGAATAAACCCGGCTTATGACCATGACTTCCATTTCAAACAAGCCCTAACTGGATTGTTTAAATATGATGAGCACAAATGAAGTTACAAAGATGGTAGAGTGCCGCTTCGGTGAAGGATAACGTCGGTTCGTTCGCAACAGTATGTCAACTTAAGCCGAAGTATTCTGTTCTAATTGTGATCGTAATAGTGAAGTGAGCAAAATCCGCGTCTCCTGCCACACTTCACCTCATCTGGATCCCAAACTCCTGAGTTAAGTTTGCATCTTCGTCGCAAACGACGCTCGCGTTACACAAATTTGCTTCGGAACCGGCGATCATTGTGTGAACACGTCCGGTTGGTGTCAATTACACCCATCCACTACTGCTAGGTGCAATTAATTGGGAGTGCATCCACAACACCCTATCCGTGAGTTTTCTTTGTAAATCCATAGAAGCCGGGGCGGTTGTGTACTTTGAATATTAAAGGTGGACAAATTGCCTCACTTGCGTACAGCTTGGTAAGCAAACATAGTGTGTTTTATTACCCAACTTCCCTTCCCACCGCGCACACAGCCGTCGACAGTAAAAGTACGATACCCGAAGCACGCCAAACGGCGGACATCAGGCCGGAAAGCCCAGAAATGTGGACGGCGACGCACCCTGACTCATTCCGACGCTGGCCACAACTGATCAGATTGCAATGGTGAATTTACCCTCCAGATGTGAATAATCCGGTATCACTAGCACCCTGACATTTAGCCATTCTCGTCCGTATCGTGCGCACCAATGTGTGCCTGACGAAGTCCCAGCAAATAGATGAGTCATTCTACCGCAGGTGGGTTAGCTGTCCGTCTACAAGAGCAAAACGGTAACACATCAGTATGCCCTGAATGGTGTAGAGATGGGTTAGGTACGATTCAGATAGCATCCTGGGACCTGCACCATTGACTGTTACATTCAGGTCATGTGGTGCAACCGTGCCAGCAAGTCACATCAACTTATGCCGTCTGAGGTACACGACGCGCGCTATCTTGCTGCATTGTGAGATGGAATCCATCAGTTAGCAGTGAAAAGTTCACAGCCGGGACCAGATCATTAAATGTCACACCAGCCGGTCTCGTGTTGTGATCGCATTCGTACGCTCGCGTTAGGAAACAACTGAGGCCACATCAACAGCAGATGTACATTGGAATAGCACCCAAACAAGTGCCGTCATTTCTTGCTGTTTTTGAAGCTTTCACGGCAAATAAAA